CATATATAAACATAAATATTTGCGGTAGTTTTATGCAGTAAGACTTTTGACTGTCGGCATAAACAAAATAAAATAAAATTATTTACACCAAAATTATTCATTACAGATCAGGTGCAGTCTCATTTATTGGAGTTATTATTCCCTTTATGTTTATTATGTTTTATTTAGGGGATAAATGGATCATGGTGCATCCTGTACATTAGTAATGACTGCATGCTGTACTCAGGTGTGAGGTTAGTGAAAAAAATCTCAAAGTTGAAAGTTAGAGATGTTTCAGTTGCTAGGCGACTAGTATGCTAATGAAGATGTTCATCTCAAGCTGTGTCTGAGCTGTGCTGAGATATGTTTTAATCACTCTCAACGGGGAAAAAAGAAGGAAAAAATCAAACACGTTCTGACGGAACACTGTAATTAATGGATCCGTAAAGAAATAGAGAGGTTCCTTCTCGCACTAAATTATCCTCAATTGTCAGGGCAGATACCTGAAGTCTGACAGCCCTGCGGAGATTAGCAAATGTGAAGTGGCAGTGCAGTGTTTATTCGCTTTGGCACATGGCCTCCCGGTGCTCAGAGATGCCACGCACCATAGAGCGCTCCTTCATCGGAAGAGGTCCAGAGCCAAACCAGCCCCGTCAACCCGCAAGCCCGGGCTTTTAAATACACCGTGCAGACAAAATGTGCTCAAAGCCCTGTGCCACCTCTGTTTGTTCTAATTCTCAATTAGTTAATATACTCTAAGAAGATTAAGAAGGGGAAGATGACAGAGCCAATGTCTGCACATACTGAATCTACAGGGAGGCAGAAAGTGGATCGAGGGCTAAATTGAAGATTAGACTGCTCCTGATTAGATTTGTGAAGCTCGATCACAGTGTACATTGAGACGGAGGAGGTATCGTACACAAGCGGATAATTGATAATAACTGAGCAGCTAATCCACAGGAATATATATATATATATATATATATATATATATATATATATATTGCAACCTTTCAAGCGAAAAATATTCAGATCAGAAGGAACTGTCAGAAAACAGAGACGTGGTTAAACTGTTTCTAAACTCTGTGAGACCTCCTCAATATGAAAGCATGCTCAAACACTTCACATATCCCAAACAAAAATGTCAGGAAATTCAAATTTGCCTTCACAAATGATCAATGTTTGGGATGGAGCGTGAAAAATCATGGCTCAGGGAAAAAAGATTTCATTAGAGAAGATGAAAAAGATAAAAAGAAAATTCATGACTGAATTTGGGAACTTTGATCACATTTGGTCTCACATCTTTCACGAACGTCCTCAAGTAACATATTTGATCGCCATCTGTTACTTGTTACAGTTTTTTTATGCTGTTGCATCACTTGTAATTTATCTTTTATTTATTTAGATTCTTTGTTTTTACTTTATTTATATGATCTGTTTTTAATTATTTTATATTTATTATATCATTTAAATATTACATCATATGGATTTTTTTAATTTAAATAAAATATTTAGCATAATAAAATACGTCATTTATTGTTCAATAATATTATGCTAATCTGAATATGATATATTATAAATTAATATATCAAGTAATGTAATATTATTTATATTTATGCTTTTATAATATAATAATTATTCAATTGAATTAAAATTAAGAATTATATATATATATATATATATATATATATATATATATAAATTTAAAATTGTGGTTAATCTTTTTTTTTTTTTTATGAGATACAGAATCTAAGTTTGATGTTGTTTGTATAGTAACCCTGACACATAACTCTTGTTCCTTAAATTGTTCTCAGATACTGCCTCACACATCCTGCCTCACACCTTCACTTATTTTCGAAAAAGGACCCGTTGACCTTCCTCTCCAATGTCCATGATTTCCAAGAAAAATCAATAGCTTTCATATGTGAGAAATCCTGAAGTGTGATTGTATTTTTGACATCCAGCAGAGCACCAGTTTATTTCCTGTTCATCACAGGCATATTCCAATGTCCATTTCAGGTGTTTTACAAAACCAGTAATATATAATAAATAAGAATTAAACATCTCATTTTCCGGTCTGAGTTTCATCACAGAGCCCTGACACCGTTATTCTGTTCGTTTAGTTCATTTGTGCAAACAAAATACGTTTTTTAAAAAAGAGTCACACCACCAATCAGGTGTGTAATTCAGCTGAAGCGTATCCTGCTGTGCGGCTGTGTTATGAAGTCTGCTGCACGATCACCTGAGTCGCCCTGTCATCTCACCAGGAGAAAGTAATGATTAAAGCTACAAGGCCTCAATTTGAAAAAGGATGTAATGACTTTGTTGCTGCATAGTCACGTCTCATGTTGTATAGGCCTCCATGTCTTGGGTTAACACAGTCTCATCCCAAAAAGTCATATAACTGACGTCTTGGGACGTCTTTTGACCATACGTCAATATCCACCTTTTTAGGGCCCCCTTAACACTAGAACGGCCACAACGGTCATTTTGACCGTTTTGAATTTTATATCTATAATAACTTTGTTGAAAAAAATAATAAAATCCTGCTGGTACCTGACTTTTCCTAAAATTGTCTGTATTTTCATTTAAAATGCTTTTCATATAAATTAAGTTACGTAAACGTAAGGCAAAACAAAAAAAATGAACATATTTACCTATTTCGGCCATAGACGGTCATATTGACCGCACTGAATTTTGCGGTATTTTTTTGTTAAATATCCCGCGGTTGATCGTGTTCTCTCTCAACTGTCAACAGAATGGTCCGTCCGGTCACCTCTGTAGCGGTGTTTGCTATATAATAATTTCTACATTAGTTATTGATCAGAAATAAGCAAATAAAACCGGACTACAGTTATCTATAATTCGGATGCAGGGGAACAATCGGAGGTGGAAAGTGACAGCGACGTTTCCTGGGTGCAAGCTAACATTTCCTCCTCATCAGAGAGTGATTCAGAGTCAGAGTCCACATCAAGCAAAAAGAGACGGCTGCTATCATCAGACACGGCGGATCCAGATGTTCTGCCCTGTCCTGCGCTGTTTGTTTTGCTGCATGGGCTGTTCACTAGTTCTGCGAGTCCTATTATTATAGCCTTGACCGCGTCGCAAATCGTCACTATCTAACATTTTCGTCATATTTTTTGTCATTCAAACCTAGTTTTTATTTAGTTATCGTCTCGTTTTCGTCTTTGAAAAAATGTGGTTGACAAAAATAATTACGAAAATTATTCATCAACACTGTTTTGAATCTAACGGTCAAAATGACCGTTTGTGGCCGTTCTAGTAGTTTTGGAATTCTGGCACTTCTAGTGTTAAACGTCGGTAGATGGCGATCCCGGGCCATCATACAACTGACGCTTTACCTTTAACGTCAGTTAGGTGACGGGTTAGGTTTAGGTCTGGGGTAGAGTTAGGATCCCATAACCTCATCTACCGACGTTTAAGGGGGCCCTAAAAAGGCGAATATTGACGTATGGTCAAAAGATGTCCCAAAACGTCAGTCATATGACGTCTTGGGATGAGACCGGGTTGCTTGGGTACTTGGTCACCTGCTGTTTGACAAACTCTTTTGTATATATTTAGGAGATGTCTCATTGGCCATTTAGGGGCAGATGAAGTGCCCTTAATAAACGGTCATTGTACAAATTATATTGTAAAAGTTTTTTAATAGAAAGGTTTTTTTTTTTTTTTCAACAGTGATGATTCAATTAGCTTTAGCTGTTACTATAGCTGCTCTAGATAAAAAAAAATAATAATAATAACAAAAAAAAAAACAGTAATACCCTCTTGGAAAAGCTGTGTTTTGAAGTATTTTGTGCATTGTGTATTTTGAAAACAGGCATTTTCCCCCTCTCTAGTTGTATCAGTTAAAGGGATAGTTCACTTTGCAATTAATTTTTGATATGTTTTAGCTTACCTCAAGGGCATACAAGATGTGTCTTTGTTTCTGCAGTAGTTTCGATTTTGATATTTTTAGGTCAAACCATTCTTGTCTGTCAGTCATATACTGTAATGGAGGTATATGGTCACCACCTCAAAGAGCATGCACAGAGTAGTCCAAATTAAACATGATTTAATGACTCGTAAATGTAAGTACATTGTTGGTCTAAGACACAAAACGAGCGGTTTGTGTGAAAAAAATGAGCAGTATTTATATTGTTTTTACCTCTTGTAGCCACAAAGCGCCCGCGCCCTCAGATCACTTGGACGTGGCTGTGGTTACAAGAAAAATAGAGTTCGTTTTCTCACACAAACCGCTCGTTTCATGTCTTAGGCCATCAATGTGTACTTACATTTACAAGTCATTAAATCATGTTTAATTTGGACTTCTCTGTGCATGCTCTTTGAGGAGGACCCCATATACCTCCATTATATGACTGACAGACAAGAACGGTTTGCCCTAAAAATATTAAAATTGAAACTACTGCGAAAACAAAGACACCTACATCTTGGATGCCCTTGAGGTAAACTAAAACATACCAAAAGTTCATTTAAATGTGAACTATCCCTTTAATCTTATTAACGTAAAGCTGTGATAACATGATCCCATAACTTGATAATTTAGAGTATTAACATTCACGATGGAGAATCTTTGTGGATATGTTTACTGTACATGTGCTCTCTCTGTCTGTCTGGGCTTGTTCACACAGAACACTTAGACGTGAACTGTGGAATGGGGGAAAAAACGCAAGGTCTCGCAACATACTTTTTAAAAAGTTAAACTGATTTTAACTTGAACGCTGTAATTTTAAAATGCCTTGGCATGCGCAAGACACTGCAAACGATTCAAGACGCGAGCGCAAAGGTTTACACATACATCTAGCACGTGTTTACATAGAAAAACAATGGAAAAGAACCGCATTGGAATAGAAAAACGCCTTCTGTGTGAACAGCCTCTACTCACTCACTCTTTTGGCACTGTTCATCTCTTAAAATGTCTTTTCAGGTATGCAGTTCATCTGTCAGTTGTACGTCATCTGTTTCTCTTTCTCATCATTCTCTCCGCTGTGTTTTCTTCACAGTATGTCCAGTCCTCCAATATGGCCAGGAAGTCCCTTTTACAGAAAAAACAAGGGAGTCCTACTACAAGGTAGAGTGGTGTCTTACCGTATTTCCATGCTGTGAACCATCCCTCTTGGATTTCCATCTCTCTGTGAACCAGTGCTCTTTTTTTTTTTTACCCGATTCAGTTCTACTTCCAGAAGGGATCTTGGTTTATTTGCATGCTATTTAGACGAGCCTTTCGTTCAACAAAAGGTGCACATTCATGGACCTGGCTAGCTCCTACAGGATTTAGCTGAGTGGGTGTTTACTTGGTTTGTTTTCCCCTGGTTTAAAAAGAGCTGCTTCAAATCTGAGACTGATTTTCCTCACCTCTTTTCAATGTCGTATTTGGATCATGCCAGCTTTTCAGTTGTTACCTCTCTGTCTCATTCTGTAATACCCAGAGATGAAAAAATAACATACAAGTCTTTCCCGCCACTGTTGAACAAACAGAAGTGTGAAGTGTCCAAAAAAAAAAACTAAATGGATAAAATGAGACAAAAGATTCACCGGTAATTGTCCTGAACTTTGTATGATAACGGGTGACAACGGGTCCTTTCACCTCATATTCTTATTTCAGAAAATGCTAATGTTTATCAAATGTAAAATCAAATGTAATAGTTTTGGAAATAAAATGAAGATTTTTAAAGTAACATCTAATATGTGGCTTTAGTTTGTAAAAGTTCCAAGCATATAAATAAATCAATTAATAAAAAAACAAATATTAATTTAATTTAAGGAGAAATAAAATTTTTGTTTGTTTTTTTACTTAAAAAAATGATTGGTGTACAGAGATATATTTTCTTAAAAAAAATATTCAGTAAGTCAGGTTGGTAAGATGTTTTTAATATGAGCAATTGTTGTTGCTCCTTTCAAGCTTACCAAGGCTACATTTATTTGATCAAAAATATTTCTTGCGAAATTTTAAGCACTGGTAATTCTGATTCTCTGATGAAAAGAAAGTTCAAAAGAACAGTATTTGTTTTTTGTAGCATTACGAATGTCTACTGTCACTTTTGATCAACTGTATGTATCCTTGCTGAATTAAAGTATGTGTATTAATTTCTTAAAAAGAAAAATCTTACTGACCTTAAACTTTTAAACAGTAGTGCGTAAGATATTCCACCATTAGAAGATAAAGTGTTTCATAAAGGGTTTTTGCTTGTCACTTTTTGCTTGCCTAAAAATTAATTGCTTTGTACACAGAACCCTTTTAAAGTCTATGAATCTATGAAAGCAAGCCTTTTAAAGCTAGACCTTGTGGCTGCTTCTTTGCTTATTTTAATAATGGCTGCAATGAAATGCCTTATTACACTCATTATCCTGCAGCAGGCAGAGAATTGAATGCACTTCTTCTCTTTATCTTGGACCCAGCACTTTGAGAGTAAATGCCACGATAACACTTGCATTGTTTTTAGTTTATTTAGTCACATTTAGTAGTTTATTTAGTGGTGTTTAAATGGTTATAGACTTCCTATTTGTTGCATTTGACTTTTGATGCTTTTTTTGTTGATAGAGAAATTGGACAGAGGACAGGAAATTATACAGAATAAGAATTTCTCAAATGCTCACCATGACTCAACGTACCTGGTTCATGGTCACAGTTAGTTGCAGTTTTACGCTATTGAACCAGTCCTCCTCTTAACAATTGTTTTCAATTTAAAGGGGACCTCTTATGTTGAGGTTTTGTTGAGTCTGTCAGTAACACACTGTTTAATTCCTTTCTCTATACAACCCCTATTTCTGAAGAGTGCAATGTGATATATGATTGGTTGGCTGGACCAGTGTTGTGATTAGTCAAGCACTTATGAGACAACGTTTTCTCTCCATTGATGCAATTTTATGGCTTTCAGTGTTTTCAATTTTATACAATAGGGGAACGCTATTATATATATATATATATATTCTGAAAGAGCACAGAATATCCAGATTAAACACACGTAAAATAAAAGCAGAAACAAGTGGTAAAAGCATTGCTAATGCACATTGTCTTTGACAAAAATATTAATTCCTCAGCTTTTTTATCCAAATGTTGCTGTTTTTATGAAATCCACTTTCAAGTGTTGAATATGTGAAGAATATATGAAGCTTGAATTAAACTTATTTTTGCATATGCCTTGGATGTGAATTTATTGTGACGTGTACAGTATGTTCCCGGAAGAAGCTCATGACTACAATCGAGATAAAGAATCGAATAGCTTTTTTTTTTTTCAGGCTCAAACAGCAAAATAACACATTACACAAAATAAATTAAAAAATGTACAAAAAAAAAAAAAAAAGGACCCTTTAAGACCCATGGCTACTGTGGCCCAATGATACAAGTGGATGACTTATTGACATGACCAGAAGCGTTTTTTTTTTAGACACCTCAATGAATTCGTATTCAGTGCACCTAAGATGTGATCTATATTTAATTTGACTGGAAATTAATTCTCACCAAACTCTAGAGACATTGACCGATGGCTTTGGTTTATTTCACAGCGCATGGCCCATCTTTTTGATATACTTGATATTCTTATCCCGAAATGTTCCTGATTTCCTTGCTCTAATCTCTCCTTATATGCACTTGAATCTCTCCACATGTATTTCTTTTGATGAGACTCACGCATGTGAATCACAGTAATCAGAGATTCAATTAACCTGGTGGCATTTAAAGCGGCACACTAATGGAAGTGCAGTACGAGAGCTGTTATTATGAATATGCTTTCTATATGAGGTGCGAGTGTGACAGTCCAGTGCCCAGCAGACATCCACTTCCTACAGTACCATAACAGAGCTACTCACTCACAGCCTGATCATTATTTTGCTTTTTTTTTTTTTTTTTGCGTTTAGTTACATAAACCCCTGCACCATAATGAGTATCTGATGCATGCGAATGAGTGCCTAGTTATATATAGTTGGTTATACACCATCACCCTCTTAAACATGCTTACATGACAGAAAAAAAAAAAAACATAACACACCCTCTCGAAAAGCATCTTTAGAGTGCCGTGCAGACAGCGGCTTGTTCTGTATAATTGGCAGTTAGCTGTGTGTTTTGTAAACTCTTTTGTGGCTGTGATATTATCTAACGCGTGGGGAGGCGGCAGCGATACACCTGCAAAGGCTGCCACATTTGTAGGAGGGACATCTGCTGAGCTCGGAAGTGCTAGCAAACACTGACGTGCGTTTAGAGTTTGTGCGTACTGCGCCCTCCGCTTGGCTATACTTTCTCAGATATGCCATTAAACACTAAAGCAAAGTTTTCTTCTGGTTGTCAAGGCCCTTTCCGTTGCATAGCTATTGAAACATTAGATCTAAGGTGCTGGCTTGATATAATCAGCAGATTTAGAGGAAGTTTTTACAAAGCAAAAAGAAGTTATTAAGGCTAAATAATCCTTTTTAAGAGACATGTGGAGGCAGAACAAGAAAGGTGCATGACAGCCGCATTAATTTTTTAGATTTAGCTCCTTGTTTTCCTAACAAAAGCTAATCTGGTGCTGAACGAGTAGTTGCTCTCAGCTTGTTTTCTAGTCATTGCAGCTATTTAGAGAGACACCAAAGCAGATGATTTTGTCTGAGGGTCTTGGGGACCAAAATGAGGGAGCGACTGGCAAATAAATGGTTTAATATTTTGAAAGTGATTCACTTGGATCCTTAGATGTAATTTAAAACTTAGTTTTAGCACTCTAAAGTACAAAGGTAATGTTAGAAATATATCCATTTTTGTGTTCTTCTACCTTCTGAAGTTGCTGTGAGATGAAGATTTTGCAGATAAGTGTCTAGTTAGACTAAATGCAGGACTATGTCTTTTACTGCTGACAGGCCAATCACTGGCACATTGTCAGTCATGTCAGCCCAGAGGTCATTTAGTTTCAAAATGTCTTTCTTTGAAGTCTACCAGAAACTTCATAACATGTCATCACTTGTAATCCATTGTAAACACAGATTGGGGGAATGTGTAGCATGTGAAGTCTGTTGAAACTGCCATTTGTATCATGTTTAAAGTCCATACAGTGGTGTGTTTCAGGGTGATATTCAGTGGCCTTCAGGAATTGAATAGGAAGTTTGCTAAAACAATATTGTAAATCAATAAGTCAATAAATACACATGAGATATTGATTTGATGCAAGGAGATACTAAATTCTAATTGTAAAAGATCATGCAAAATAATACTTTTATAAGAGATTTATGGAAAAAGACAATTTTCTTTTCAAGATGTTTCCAACTCTTGAACCCATTGAATGGCCCATTTAACCTATTTGACCAGGTTTTGTTTCCAGGCATGACTGAGTGTGTGTGTGTGTGTGTGTGTATATATATATATATATATATATATATACACACAGTATATTATCCTCACATTCTTTCTTGTGTGACACACCTGAATGAAAGGCTCGTTTTTGTGGGTCTTTGTCTTCTCAGGTGATATAAAGCACTCTTGTGCGACGAGAATACTGTTGGGGAGGTAAGAAAGCTCTCAGATTTCGTTAAAAATATCTTCATTTGTGTTCTGAAGATGACAAAGGTCTGACAGGTTTGGATCGACATGAGGATGAGCAATTAATGACAGAAATGTCATTTTTGGGTGAACTAACCCTTTGAACCCACCCTTGCTGAATAAAAGTATTAATTTCCTTTTCAAATTTCTTTTAGCAAATCTGGCAATTCCTCTAAAAGAATCCTGTCATCACCTGCGCGCAATAAATTCTGGGGAAGGCTAAGCGTCCATCTGTTTTATCCTTCATTGCCCAGGAAACGAAGGATGCATTTCGATGCCATATTTGAAAGACCCTTTGAATTGGGACAGCCTTCGTCACACCACTATGACACAATCGGCCTTCGAAAGCGGCCTTCAAAGGATGCAGCCTCTCTATTGGGAAGCAGTGAGAATCTGTGTATTAGCGCTGTGGCAAGTGGTCCATATCCTGCCTCTTATTGGATTTTTAACAGACTTTTTACTGACGGAAATGGCAAGCAGAGAACAGCACAAAGACCGAGAAGCTCTGAGAACTATTTAATAAGGGATTACCAGTGAGATTTACTTCTTCAGTTTCTCTGCAAAAC